GGGGGTGAGGTACACGTTTTATGGAAATTCCTTTGGCCTCTCATGGGGATTGGAACCTTACTGTGGGTTGCACGTTTTATAATTATATTTCACAAGGATCGAAGCCTGGCTATGATTTAAACGGTTTGCAACAATTACTGATTATCTCTCGCAGGGACTGAAACATAACTGCCGGGTACGTGCTTTATGGTAAATGTCTATTATCCTTTATTATTTAATTTATGCGTTTTATAACGAATGCCGATTAACTCTCAAGAGGATTGAATTGAATCCTGGCTACAAGTTGCACATTTTATAACAAGTGCTAGGTATCTCTCATGAAGATTTAACCCCCTTTGTGTCAAAGAACGATATATCGCCGTTTTTCATGTGCTAAAGACTTCGGTCGGCACTAATAGGGTTAAACTTGTATACACAATTTATAATAATTTGTGATGATCTCTCCCGGGGACTTACACGTTTTACAAATGTTGATTATCCCTTGCGAGGATTCAAACCTAGTAGCACATTTCATAGTAACTTTCGCTCACAACTATTCCTCATGGAAACTGAAACTTGGCTACAAGTTATACATTCTATAACAAATGTCAATTATCCCTCCCCAGGACTCGTCTGTCTATGAGGTATATATTTTACGACAATTGCTGATTACCCTTCACAGAGACTGAATCCTGGGTACAAGCTAAACGTTTTACAATAAATAATGATTTTGCCTCGCGAAAATTCGAACCTTACTCCACTATAAACGTTTCGCATCTTTCCCATTATTCCGGGCTCATAATCTTCAATTTCAAACATTCCAAGTTGTACATAAAGTCATGAACCCTGAACAATACTCTGATCTTGATGTGATGCAAAGCCGAGGATTTTTTGAAACCTGCAATTACAATTTATCATTAATTTAGATGTAAACCGACATTTTTCTCTCTACTCTCTATCTTAAATCAATTTGTTGGGTTTATTTTTTGTTTTGAAATTAACTATCTAACTACGTGTCAATATTAATCCACGTTGCGGATCAGCTCTGCATTAACCACCATTCATTATATACTTTGTTCGAACTTTCTTTCTCTTTTTTCTTTTCTCTTTCCTCATGCCATGGGCTGGTCCCAGCGGAGGAAACTTTTTTTCCAGGCGATGAACGCCGAAAGAAATAACGAGGTAACTTCGTCGTTTTCAGGCAGAACTTCGCGGAATGGTGGAGGAGGACGCTGCGACATGTACGCATATTAAATAAAATCTTTTAACCCTTCTAACCCTGCAATAAGTTCAAATAAAATCCTAGTCCACGTACCTAATTTTTTTTTATATTAACTGTTTGACTATGTGTTCATATCGATTCGCGTATGATAGCTGACCATCCCTGTAATAATTACTGTTCATTATGTACTTTGATCAAACTCTTTTCCCCCTTTCTCCCTTTTTTCCCTTTCTTCTCGATGTGGGCCCCAAGGGAGGGAACTTCCAAAGGAAATAACGAAGTAACTTCATCTTTTCTAGGCAAAACTTTGTGAAATAATGAAGAAAGAAAAGTTGCGCCACGTATGCATATTAAATAAAATTAAAACGAAATTTTGGGTTATAGATAGATAAGAGTATAGTGACATATGTACAACTTAAAAGATTTAAACCCTTCCAATTCAGTAAGGAATTTAAATACATCCTAAATTTATATGAGTTCTCCAAACCAATTATCACTGTTAATCCACCACATGACCACACACTTAGTTAATCCACCACAAGACCTCATATCCCTGTTAATCAATGTGCCTGGTGACCACCCTGCACAATGTAACAGCCCATCACGTTCTTTGGTCGAACTGTTTTTTCTCTTTTGACAAACTGAAGGAAACAAAATGTCAATTCGAACTTTTCCAGGCAAAATTTCACATAATGGTTACATAAGAACACCTCTTATGTGCATCTCAAAATCTTTAAATCCTTCTAACTCTGCAACAAGCGCAAAGCAAACCCAAATTTGTACATCTAGTTTTTCCCAAACGAAGTCCCAAAGTGTGTAAATCACATCAATTTTAGACATTGTGATTGGTGATCCCTATTCGCGATGTAACCAGCCACAACTATCGTCGAAGTTTTCCTCTCGACAGGAATTCTAGGGAACAGAACTCTTTCCTGACATCAACCCCTAAAAGGAGCAACAAATCAACTAGGTTGTTTCCATACAAAACTTCAGGATATAGTTAGATAAGTGTACGGTGACATGTGTTCAACTTAAAATCTTTAAACCCTTCCAACTCCGTTAGGAATATAAATACAACCATAATTTATATGAGTTTCTCCAAACTAATTATCACTGTTAATCCACCACATATTTAGTTAATCCACCACAGGACCTCATATCACTGTTAATAAATGTGCCTGATGACCACCATGCACAATGTAACAGTCCATCACGTTCTTTAGTCGAACTGTTTTTTCTCTTTCGACAAACTGAAGGAAACAAAATGTCAATTCGAACTTTTCTAGGCAAAATTTCACATAATGGTTACATAAGAACACCTCTTATGTGCATCTCAAAATCTTTAAATCCTTCTAACTGTGCAACAAGCGCAAAGCAAACCTAAATTTATACATCTAGTTTTTCCCAAATGAAATCCCAAAATGTGTAAATTACATGAATTTTAGACATTGTGATTGGTAATCCCTATTCACGATGTAACCAGCCACAACTATCGTCGAAGTTTTCCTCTCGACAGGAATCCTAGGGAACAGAACTCTTTAAATAGGAATTTAAATACATCCAAAATTTATATGAGTTTCTCCAAACCAATTATCACTGTTAATCCACCACAGGACCTCATATCATTGTTAATCAATGTTTCTGGTGGCCACCCTGCACAATGTAACCGTCGATCACGTTCTTTGGTCCAACTCTACCTCCTCTCCAGACATGGGTCCCAAGGGAAAGAACTTCTTTTCCAACGGCAACAGCTAAAAGAAGTAACGACTCAACTTGGTCGTGTGCAGGCAAAACTTTCGATAATGGCTACATAAGTCAGACCACACCCCATTAAGTTCAGCACACAAAGAATTTGATGAAACAAATGCCTGACTTATGTGCATAGATATACGCAAATTCGTAGACATGTCACGTCCTTTCTGAAACATTTGCAGCGTACTTGACGTGTGCGTCTTTGGTGTACGGCCATATTGAAGCAGTAGTGATTTAGTTGCAACATAAAAACTGTTCCTGCAACAAGTTCCAATTAAATTCAAGTTCATTTAACCAGTTTTGACCAAATTACTTCTGTAACAACCACTAATTACATTCAAGTATATGAAATCGGTTTTATCCAAAATACTTCCGGAAATAATTGCCCAAGCTATGTGTCAATGTTGGTCCACGCGTGGCTGGTAACTACCATACACAATCTTCGAAGTTTTCCTTTCCTCCCGATACGGATCCTAGTGGAGGGAATTTCTTTCCCAACAACTGCTAAAAGAAGTAACGAGTCAACTCCATCTTTCCAAGGAAAACTTTACGTAACAGTGGAGGCGAACGCAACGAGATATGTGCATCGTAAAACCTTCAAACTCTTCCAACCTTGCAATAAGTGTAAATAAAGTCCAAGTTTACACCCCAGTTATTGTCCAAACTAAATCTCAAAATAATTGTCTAATGTGTCAATGTTAGTCAATACAACTGGGTGAAGCACGATCTTCGAAGTTTACCTTTTCACCCGTCGTGAGTCCTAGAGGAGAGAACTTTTTTCCCAACGACAACTACTCACAGATGTAACGAGTTAATTCTATTCCCAGCGGTGGAGGCGAATGTAGCGACATGTGCATCGTAAAATCTTCAAACCCTCTAACCCTGCAATAAGTTTAAATAAAGTCCAAGTTTATACCCCCGTTTTTGTCCATATTAAATCCCAAAATAATCGTCTAATGTGTCAATGCTAGTCAATGTCCCCAATGACCAACATACACAAAATAACCGGTCTGATGGTCTCCGCTCTCTTCCTTCCCTCCCAAAATGGGTCCCAAGGGAGGGAACTTCTATCTCTACGATGACTGCTAAAAAAAGTAACGAGTCAATTCTAACTTCCCATGCAAAACTTCATGTAATGGTGGAGAAGAAGGCAGCGACATATGCTCATCATAAAATCAAAACCCTCTAACCCTGCAATAAGTTTAAACAAAGTCCAAGTTCATACTTCTATTTTTGCATAAATTAATTCCCAGCATCTAATGTGTGAATATTCGTCAATATCCCTGTTGACCAACACGCACAAAATAACCGTTTTTGATGGAGTTTGTTCTCTTCCTTCCCTCCTGAAATGGGTACCAAGAGAGAGAACTTCTATTCCTACGAGAACTGCTGAAAGAAGTAACAAGTGAACCCAATGTTTCCAGGCAAAACTTCGCGTAATGTCGAAGAAGAGCGCAGTGATATATGTGCACCATAAAATCTTGAAACCCTCTACCCTTGCAATAACTTTAAATGAAGTTCAAGTTCATACGTCTATTTTTGCATAAATTAAATCCCAGAACAATCATCTAATCTGTGAATGTTAGTCAATGTCCCCGATGACCAACACGCACAAAATAACCGTCCTTGATGGTGTTTGTTCTCTTCCTTCCATCCTGAAATAGGTCCCAAGGGAGGGAACTTCTATTCCTACGATACTGCTAAAAGAAGTAAAAAGTGAACTCAATGTTTCCAGGCAAAACTTCGCGTAATGTCGAAGAAGAGCGCAGCGATATATGTCCATCATAAAATCTTGAAACCCTCTACCCTTGCAATAACTTTAAATGAAGTCCAAGTTCATACGTCTATTTTTGCATAATTTAATTCCCATAACAATCATCTAATCTGTGAATGATAGTCAATGTCCCCAATGACCAACACGCACAAAATAACCGTCCTTGATGGTGTTTGTTCTCTTCCTTCCCTCCTGAAATGGGTCCCAAGGGAGGGAACTTCTATTCCTATGGTAACTGCTAAAAGAAATATCGAGTGAACTCTATGTTTCCAGGCTAAACTTCGCGTAATGGTGGAGGAGAACGCAGCAACGGGGGCCCGGCTGGACGGGGAGCTGGAACGGGCCCGGGGCGAGTGCGCCTCCCTCAGGGGTGAACTGCGCGACGTCCGCGGGGCTCTGGTCCTGAACAGCAACGCCGGGGGTGGCCTCAGCAACTCTTCGACCTCCAGCGGCAGCAACGTCGCCCCTCAGGACGCCGAAGCCCATCCACAGGAAGACGCCAAACGACTCAGCGCTGGCAGCAGCCCCGTCGAGAAGCGCAGCTCCGCTAGCGATAAATCCGCCAGCCCCGTTGATAAGAGGACCAGCCCCATCGATAGGAGAGCCAGCCCTATAGGTCGGTATATCTAGGATTACCATAGACGTAAAATATATGGAACCTGTAAACTCGACCATCTCCTTGATACCGTTGTGACCGGAGTATTGACAAGGAAATCAGTGAAAACGATTTCCTTCTTTAAGAGCCGATTGCCCTATTTCATATGATAAACAACAACGCGATTCGATAACAAAATTGTCACAGGGATTTCCAACGATTCCCAGGGATTTCTGCTTGCGATTTTTAGCTGATTTTCGCGTTATTTCAAGAAATAAATCCGATTTCTTGAGAGAATACTCCCTCAGTTGTGAAGGCAATGAACAAGAAAGGGAGCAATTAGAGCCGACATCCTATGTGTTTCTCTCTCTTCCTTTCGCTAGATAAGCTATGGCTATATTGCGTTGCACTATTTCCCGTAAAAAGAGAGAGATAAGGCTCCTCGTTTTCTCTCTTTCGGTTCTACTATTTTCATAGCCACCACAGGGGGTGGAATCCATATTTCCTACGTGTTTATCAACAGCTTTCGTATTCAGTCATATTCTAGAGTTATTGGAAAATGAAAATCCTCTCCAAATTGATAAAACCGTATAAAAAACGAATTATTAATCTGGAGATCATTTCCCCCAATATACGAATACCAATAAATACCCAGGCTCTCTGTACCCGATTTATGGGAATTTATTCTATTTGGTCAACCCAGCTTTGACTCCGCGGTCACGTCTCCAATGGAGCATTTGTTGTCGCGAAACCGTTCGCTTCAAAAGGCAGCATTCGTAGTGTTTGGACGCCTTTTAAAATCCGCATCGTCGATCGAGAGGGCTTCGATCGGGGTAAAGATTCTCCCTCCATCCCGCCCTATCCTGGAAATCTCTCAGCGCGGCCCAAAGAATGACACTCGTCCGGACGAGGGCTGGGAGAGACCTCAAATCGTTACTTACATCCCCTGTCCTTCTCACCCGAAAGTGTGTTCTAAATCCTCTCTAAATTGGTAAAACCGTATGAATAACCAATTATTAATCTGGAGATCATTTCCCCCAATGTACGAATGCCAGTAAATACCCAGGCTCTCTGTACTCGATTTATGGGAATTTATTCTATTTGGTCAACCCAGCTTTGACTCCGTGGTCACGTCTCCAATGGAGAATTCGTCGTCGCGAAACGGTTCGCTTCAAAAGGCGGCATCCGTGGTGTTTGGATGCCTTTTAAAATCCGCATCGTCGATCGAGAGGGCTTCGATCGGGGTAAAGATTCTCCCTGCATCCCGCCCTATCCTGGAAATCTCTCAGCGCGGCCCAAACAGCGATACTCGTCTGGACGAGAGCTGGCCCTCCTCCAATAACGCGAGCCACGCGAGACTCGACGTCAATCGGTGCCAATGGCGTTTGAATTAGCTGACCGACTGCTACTCGATTCCGTCGAGTGGCAAACGCGGCTCGAAAGCAGCGCCGGATCCACCGGGAATCTAGAATGGACCCTTGACCCAGGTCGTACCACCCGTCTGTTGATGCTTCTCATCGCTCCTCGTCCTTGTCCGGCCTCTTCTTTGGCGAGCTCGACCGGGTGCATCGGTCCGCGCAACTGGCAAATGGTGTTTTTACGATGCCGAATAGATGGTCCATTGTTCCAGCGACCTAGAAGAAGCAAGATTTCGGCTGATCTTTAAGGGGATGTGAAAGTGCCATCCAAGGGGTCAGTCGTTTATGAAACTTTTCTCCAAACTAGGTGTTGGACCATTTGATTGGAGTGAGGCGGTCTGAAGAACGTTTGAGCAACATTTGGCCATGGACAATGTGAGGCACTCTTTCTCGAAGTAGTGTCCTGCACGTGGTCAGAAAATAGCTAATGAAAGGACTCGGAATTTATAACCCCGATCAGGGTGGTCTTCAAAGTGGCCACTTCAGGGTCTGCCATGTCGACGCATTTCCAAAAGGGTATCGTATGGCTAACAAACATCGCGGACTTTCTCCAGGATCCGAGAAAGTCTATGCCGTCCTGGAGAAACGAACCTTTGGGAAATGCTATCCTAAAGTCAGCCAATCAGGGCTCAGCATCCCAAGTGCATCCTTTCCTAGGTTTCGACAGAGGAGAGGGAAGAAAGTGCATCGAGAATGCAACTTTCCATGTTTTTCAAGATTTAGATTTAGATTTTCTTGTATTTCAGAGAGGCGTAATGGATCACCGTGTCCAAGTCCCAGCGAGAAAACTAGACGTCCCTATGCCCAAGCCCTGGAGAAGACGCGTTTGGGCGGTTCCGGGGGCAGTGTCGACTCCAGATCGGGCAGCGCCAGTCCTGATCGGGGATTCTCCGCCAGGACAGGATTTCTGCACCGAACCGGTAGCGATCGGTCCAGCATCGAAAGACTTCGGGTGTCAACGAGGGACTCCACCAGGTCGTCCAAGGATTCCACGGATCGCGATGCCAAGGACCTGGTGGACGGCGACCCGCGCCCCGACGATGACGAACCGCCGGGCCCGGCGCCCGGCAGCAGACCGTCTTCACCTGCTAACTCTCTTGGTAAGCCTCCAAAACCTCCAACTAAGTTACTACACACTTGGGTTGGTAATCTAATTTCAGTGGAAGAACCGTTCGTGTACATTGCCAGGAGCAAGTCATTAAGATCCCTAGAATTCATAGCTCTTCATCCAGGAATTGTAGGAAGTTCACGCTCCAACTTTGCTGCCTATTAAGACTTATGATCAGCACTTTTAACGAGTAACGTCAATTTGAATCATCGAAGTTAGCCTGGTCGTCCATGAATCATGTAAATCTAGGGTTATACCTTTGCTGAAAGATGAATTGTAACCTTCTTTATTATCTGTCTACGCACTTGTGATTCTTTTTACCGTTCAGCATTCTTTAAGAGTGATTGGCGACGAAGAGACTTTTCTAAAATTCCTTCGATTAAGGGATTTCTTATCGTTTCGCGACAAATACATTTCTCTGAAGGCTCTATAGGTTGTCGTGGTCAAGATTTCTACCTACTATCACTTAAGGATCAAGATTCTCGCTATAAAGTATTCCCCGCAGAATTTTGTCCAGTTGCCTGATGACCGACACGATTTTAACTCAACAAAATTGTTCCGACCTCGTTACTCTGAATCCTTAGAAACAATTAACAACCCAAAGGTAATGTCTTTACGATCCAATATCGTTGCGTTCCCATTGCAAACCATACTCTGATTTATGGTCTCTTTTCCCTACCCTATAGAAGTGATCGGTAACGCAGTAGTAGCACTTAATTATTCCAGTATTTCTTTAATCAAGGAGCTCGGGTGACAATGAGTTGCGCATCAAATGCATTTCTCATTTCTTTGTAGACTTTACCGTACTCAAGGTACATGCACCTAGTTTCTGTATGAGCGACTCAATGGTGGCATCTGAGCACGTCGACATCGCTTCCATTGCCCTGCAACCCTATGTCTATGTACTGAGGAAGAATCCCTGAAGAATGGATCGATGACCCGATGGTGTCGTCTCGATGTTCCAATATCGTTCGGATTTCATTCCTGACCCCTACAAAACAAACATCAATCACGGTGGTGCCTCGACAATCCAATATGGTTCCGTTCCCGTTGCTCTACAAACGTTGTTCTAATTACAATCTTTATCCACTCTGATCACCCCTTAAGAATGATCCGATGGTGTGGCATTAACTCTTCCCAATGTCGCTTCGACCAAAAAACGACAGTCGCGCGCCAAATGCATTTCTTATTTCTACACAAACTTCATCGTAATCAAGGTTTCTGAATACCTTTACTTAGGAATAAGGTTTTCCGGAGAAATATATTTGATGGGAAATTCTACGAGGTTTCTTGATATGTTAACCAGAGGTAACGTCTTAACTTGTCGATATCGCATTGATCCTCCTGCTCTGGAAGCCTTCCTCTGATCACGGTGTCTATGTCCTACCTACTAACAATAAGAATGATCCGATGTTGCTACCTCGATTTCCCAATAGCGCCCTGAGCTCCTAGCTCCAACCCCTTAGGAACAATCGATAACAGCGGCGGTGTCACGACCATCCAATATTGTTACGTTCCTATTGCCCTGCAAACCTTGTTCTGATTACGGTATCGGTTCATCGTTCCCTTAGGAATGATCGGTCAACCGACGGTGCTGACTCGATTCTCCAATATTACTCAAATCCCATTACATCGATCACGATATTTATATACAGTCGTGGACAAGAATGCCTTCCTAGCAGATATGGTGTCGGTAATACACAATGGAGAGACATCCATATCCAACGATGTACCATCCCTTAAGAATGATCAGTGATCCAATAACACTCTCTCACCTCTTCCCTACCGCTCCGATCCCATAACTCTGATCACTTGGGAACAATCGACAACGTCAGTGGTATTTCGACTATTCAATATTGTTCCGGTCCCATTGCGCTGCAAACGTTGCTCTGATTACGGTCTCTATCCATCACCCCTCAGGGGTGAACGGCAATACAATTACGGTACACCTAATGTGCCCAATATTTCTTCGATCAAAACACTCGAATCGAATACATTTCTTATTTCTCTGAATACTTTACCGTGATCAAGGGTTGTGCCTACCATCATTTAGAAATTAGGAAATTATCCACGCTATAGGGCATTTCAGCGAAACATTGCCAAGTTTCCTAATGAAAGATTCGATGACGGGGTCCTGACTCGCTAATGTTCCCCTTATCTCCTGACTGCAACCCTTTATGAACAATCGACAACTCAGCAAAGGTATCTCGACCATCCAATATTGTTCCATTCCCATTGCTCTGCAAACCTTGCTCCGATTACGGTCTGTTTCCATCACCCCTTAAGGGTGGACGTTAATGCAATGACGGTACACTTAATGTTCCCAATATTTCTTCAATCAAAACTCTCGGATGAATTATGCACCAAATGCAATTCTTATTTCCTGTATACTTTACCACGATCAAGGATTTGCCCTCCATAACTCAGAAATTAGTAAAATATCCACACTACAAGGTATTTGAGCGAAACTTCGCCATGTTTCCTAAAGATTCGATGACGGGGTCCTTGCTCGTTAATGTAACCTTATCTTCGGACTCCGACCTGTTAGGAACAATCTACAACTCAACAACGGTGTCTTGACCGTCCAATATTGTTCCCTTCCCATTGCTCTGCAAGCCTTGCTCCGATTAGGATCTCTATCCATCACCCCTTAGGGGTGAACGGCGATACAATCACGGTACACTTAATGTTCCCAATATTTCTCCGATCCAAACACTCAGATAATGCGTCAAATGCATTTCTTATTTCCTGTATACTTTACCACGATCAAGGATTTGCCCTCCATAACTCAGAAATTAGTAAAATATCCACACTACAAGGTATTTGAGCGAAACTTCGCCATGTTTCCTAAAGATTCGATGACGGGGTCCTTGCTCGTTAATGTAACCTTATCTTCGGACTCCGACCTGTTAGGAACAATCTACAACTCAACAACGGTGTCTTGACCGTCCAATATTGTTCCCTTCCCATTGCTCTGCAAACCTTGCTCCGATTACGATCTCTATCCATCACCCCTTAGGGGTGAACGGCGATACAATCACGGTACACCTAATGTTCCCAATATTTCTCCGATCAAAACACTCAGATGATGCGTCAAATGCATTTCTTATTTCCTGTATACTTTACCACGATCAAGGATTTGCCCTCCATAACTCAGAAATTAGGAAATATCCACCCTACAAGATATTTGAGAGAAGCTTCGCCATGTTTCCTAAAGATTCGATGGTGGGATCCTGGTTCGTTAACGTAACCCTATCCCCTGACTCTGACCCCTTAGGAACAATCAACAACTCAGCAAAGGTATCTCATCTAGCCGATATCGTTCCATTCCCGTTTCTCTGCAAACCTTGCACCGATTACGGTCCGTGTTCCCCATTCCCTTAGGAATAATTGGCGACCCAGTGGTGGCGTCTCGACTCTCCAACATTCACGGAGGTGGTGGAGGTTCCGTGGAGCTGGCAAGTGCGAGGAGACTGCGACTAGAAAACGAACGCCTCGTAGCCGAGGTCGCAAGGCTGAGGAGGTTGCTGCTGAGCGGAGCAGCACGAGGGGAAGTCGGCAGCGAGGATGCGGCTCTCGAAGAAGAGGCTCGAGTAGTCGCCCTTGAGATGGAGCTCCAACACGCAAGGGAAGCTCTGCAAGCCCTTAAAGCCGACAGAAAGAGGCTCAAGGCCGAGAAGTTCGATCTCCTGAACCAAATGAAGGCTCTCTACGGGACTCTAGAGGACAAGGAACGCGAACTTCGAGACTTCATCCGTAACTACGAACAGGTGAGGCTTATCGTTGAAGTGACCTCTTCTCGGACTGCCTGCTAATTCTCATGCACGTTTTCATTAAGATCGACAATATGATGAGTCCCTGAAAAAACCACTTTAAATTTAACCCACCACCATGCTTCTACCTGCCAGTTAAATTGGGTCATTAGAAGCATAACATGCTTAACCCCAAACATTCAGAGTAATATTTATTCCTGCTTTTCGTAGTTTAACAACAAATTCCCTACAGCTTGCAGGAGTACTAACAGAGATAAGGACGTCGTTATCAAATCCCTCGCTAATGCAGCACGGATATGTAAAATACACTATGCGAAATGTCGCGCGGGACGATCGAGATTTTATCCCACCTCACGAGATTAGATTCGCCAAGGTTTCGCCCCCTCCGGATAAAGTCGGCTTTTTTTTCCAATCCGCCCCCCACGTAGCCGAGGTCGCTATAAGGTGTGCGATTGGTTCGTGAGGAGATTTGTAATCAAGACGGTGAGGCGTAGTTCTGTCGACGGAGCGACGCCTGTTGGCCCCAACGTCATTCAGGGAATCAATATGGCTGCTTTACGCCGCGGCGCAGGGTCCGCTCTCACCTCGAGTTTTCCCTCGACCGAAAAAGGCGGAAAAGCGAGCGTGGAATGAAACGGCCCACTCGATCGGAACACCGGGCTGTGATACGCCAAGAAAACGTCAGTGGAATCGAATAAAAGTCCGCCGACACCTCCCGAAACGCCTTTCGCCTCACGAATTCGATGCGCCGCGCGCCATCTTTGCTCCGACAAAGCGTACCGACAATTTCCCATCACTTGGCGACTCCTCCCGCGTCGAAGCTCTCGCATAATCCGATTCATTCACCCCTGGGTGCGTGGATGTGTCACCGTGTCGGCAAACAGCCTTTCCGACATCCTACCCTTACCTCACGACCCCAGCACAACCCCCGAATATTATGTTTCCGATGCGAGCAACGCGAGAGTGGCTTCCCCTAGCCTTTTCGTTTGTTCGGCCGCGTCACCTTTTCCTATTCGACTGCGAGATCGATTTTCCGGGAACGTCGGATACCAATGTGCGTCAAGGGATCGGCCCGACTGCACAAATTAATTCCTGATTTCCTGGACAGGCTCGTAAACGAAATTTAATATCATAATATTATCGAATGAAAAAGTAAACGTACGTCAAGGGAACGGCCTGACTACACAAATTAATTTTTGATTTCCTGGACTCGTTCGTAAACGAAATTTAAAAACATAAGATTATCAAATGGGAATGTAAAGGTACGTCAAGGGATTGGTCCGACTGCACAAAATAATTCCTGATTTCCTGGAGTTTTTCTTAAGAAACTTGAGTTTTCCAAACCTCTATACTAGAAGACCCCTGAATTGAACTGCTCTAACAAGTAAATACTCGATTTCAATCGATTGTATCAACTGAATTTTAATGTTCAGTTTTTATTTTTGTCTGTTTATAATTTTTGTCCTCCAAAATGATCAGCATGATATATTGGTTGGGTATCCTGAGATGGTAATTGTTATGCCTATTATTGATTAAATATATTGCAAGACGTGGTAAGTGCAAAAAGAGGTGAAAGATTTGATGCACTATCTGGAGTCTAGAGAATTACCTTCTTGTTCACGTAAACCAAGGATTTTCCGATATGAGCCGGTTTATTAGACCTGCTTATTACCTATTCACCTAGACTCGTAAATTTTGGCATCACAGGGATTTTACGATCATTAATTTCATAACGCTAAAGTCTTTGGTTCACTCCGGGTCCACTCTACTGCTGCTCCATGGAGATGAGAAATCGTTGCTCTCCCAAGCATTTAAATGAGATGCGCAATTAAATTCTTGAACCCTTAACACATTGGATCAACGATTTAATTCCATGAATAAGATTTCACGAGATCTTGCATTTCATGAGATGCAGTCTGCACCTTGAAGTTCCCATCCGCCGAGATTCTCGAGCCGCCTCCTCTCTGTCTAGAGGAAATCCAAGCGTCAAACCCGCGATGGTAATTCGCCGTTCAGGAACAGGGAGCGATTCTCAACGGCCATTAAATACCCGTGTCGAGTCCCGTCGGATAATAATCGCGTTAGGAAGTTTGAGTAGTAAACGTTACCGAGCACGCCGGGTGATAAGTGGATTAAGCTCTTCCGCTTGGAAGGGACTCGTTAAACTCCTTCGGTTGTGCCGAGAGCTGCACTTGCGCCTGGAGGTACACTTGTCCATAGAGACACTCGCTGGTGGACAGTCCCTAGAAAAGAACTCATCTGAGAATTCTGCTAACTGCGCAACTTCTGCAATATGTACCTTGCCTGAGTTTGCGTACCCTTGGACAGGCTCTAGGAAGTCGTCGGTCTTTTAGGTGAAGGCAATGCCCGGAACTGGGCCTGGCTGACCATTGATGATGAACAGTTTCTGGAGAACTACTTCTGCAACATGCGTTTTCTCTAAGTTTGCCAACGGCAAAGCGGGTACTAGGAAGATGACGGTCTTTTGGGTGTAATCCCTACCCAAGAGTCAGTCCAATAGACCATTGATGACGAACGGTTCCCAGAAAAATAACTCTTCTTAGAATTGATGACGAACAGTTCCCAGAAAAATAACTCTTCTTAGAATTTAGTGAACTGCGCAACTTCTGTAATATGTACTTTGCCCGAGTTTGCGTACCCGTGGACGGGCTCTATGAAGTCGTCGGTCTTTGAGGTGAAGGCAATGCCTGGAACTGGGTCTGGCTGACCATTGATGATGATCAGTTTCTGGAGAACTACTTCTGCAACATGCGTTTTCTCTAAGTTTGCCAACGGCGAAGCGGGTTTTAGGAAGATGCCGATCGTTTAGGTAAAGTCCCTATCCAAGAGTCAGTCCAATAGACCATTGATGACGAACGGTTCCCGAAAAAATAATTCTTTAGAATTTGGTGAACCGCACGACTTCTGCAATATGCGCTTTCCGCAAGTTTGCGGTCTTGATGGAGGCACTGCTCGAAACTGGGTCTGGTTGACCATTGATGGGGGACAATTTCCCGAGAACAAACATCTGCATCGTTTATTTTCTCTACGATTGCATACTTCTGCGCGAACACTAGCAAGACCTTTGTGCGAAGTCCCTACCCAAAAGTCAGTTCAGTTGACCCTTGATAATGAACAATCCCCAGAAAAGAACTCGCCTTCGAATTCAATGAACTACCCAACTTCCGCGGCGAACTATCCAAGTTTGCGTACTCCTCCGTGGGTACTAGGAAGATGCCGAGCTTTTGAATGGAGTCACTGCTCAAAAGGGATGGGGTTGACAATTGACAATGGCCTGTTTCCGGGAAAAAGAAAACTCATCATAGAATTCAGTGGTGCCCGACTTTCGCAACGTTCTCTTTTCATGATTGTCTGTCCCTGTATCAGTACCAAGATGAGTTTGATCTTTTTACTAGAGTCACTGCCCGAAAATCAGTTTGGTTGATCGCTGATGATAGCAACAGTTCCATAAAAAAACCCATCTTTAAATTCCACTAATTGCATGTCTTTTGTAACACATATTTCCTCAAGTTTGCATGTCTGCACGACTACTAGGAAGATATCAATATTTTTGGTGGAATCACTGCCCGAAAGTCAATACAAGCAGTTCCCAGAAAGGATTCATCTTACAATTCAATGAACTGTATGACTTGTGCGACACGTCCTTTCTCCAAATTTGCACACCTTTGCACGTGTGGTAGGAAGGTGTCAGTGTTCTTGAATGGAGTCACTGCCCGTAATAGCGTCTGGTTGACAACTGACAATGGTCCGTTTTCAGGAAAGAACTCATAAAATTTCGCAAAGTGCCCAACTTTCACAACGCGTTCTTTTCCCTAGACTGCCCGTCATTACACCAGTACTATGATGAGTTCAGTCTTCCTAGTGGAGTCCCTGCCCGAAAGTGAATCTGGCTCGTTGTTGATAATAAACTCTGTTCCTTCAAAGAACTAATGTTAGAATTCGATGAACAGCAAATGGACGCGCAAGACGTCTTTTCCCAAGGATGCATGCCTTCACATGCATGCTTAGAAGGTATCAGCCGTTTGGGTGGAGTCACTGCCCGGAAGTTAATCCGATTGACGATCGATGATAAACAATTCTTGACAAGTATAGTCTGAGATTCAAAGAGACAGGAAGATCGGTTAGAAATCCCGGATTTATTGCGAATCGGTGTGGACGGCGTGGCGGCGTGCGTGCGGAAGACTCTCTAGTACCCGTGAGGACGCCACTGCTGTGCCTCGTCCGATGAGCACCTATACGCGATTTTTGGGCACTACAGGAGGAACTCATATCAGAATTCAATGAATTGAACAACTTCTGTTGTACATCATTTCTTCAAGTTTGCATGCCCTTGCACGCGTAGTGGGAAGGTGTCGGTCTTTTGGGTGGAGTCACTGCCCGGAAATGGGTCTGGTTGACCGTTGATTGCAGCGGATGCGGGAGAACGAGGCGACCCTGGGATGTCTTCAGCAGCAGGGAGCCAACCTGCCCTCCGAGGAGCGAGAGCGAGAGCGGGAGAGAGAACGATGGAGCTTGCTGAGAGCCGCCAGGGACGAGGCAGATCGAAGTCTCAGCCTCGCTGCCAGCCTGGCCGACAAGGAAGCAGCGCTCTCGCACGCCCACGCAACCATAAAAGAGGTAAGTCCCGCGACGAGGCTTCGCTCGCACCACAAAACGAGAAATGCCGACCAGGCGAGTCTGCCGACCAGTTTTCTCGATACCGGAAATGTACCAGGTTTCAGAGGAAAGCGATATTCGCGCTGCCGGTGGATGCTGTTACCGATATTGCAACACCAGTCGGAATGGGAACTGGTACCAGTTGCGTGAATAGCGATGCCGACAGTGGCAAGTTATGGTGTCCACGGTGACGTTAGTAGTGGCAGTAATGGTGCATACTTACGTTACCGTAGAATCGTTAGTTACGCTAGTAATCCCGTTGCTTGTGCACAATAGCGCTCGTGTCCCTGGGAGTGGCAATATCGAAGACACAGTAACCACCATCGGCACCACCGTCCCGGTATACCGCCTAATTCATTTCGAAGCGCTTAGGACGAAATAGTGCTACAAATCATGATGAAAAATCATATCACTTTAAACTACTCCGGATGACTTATTGCTTGCGGCAGTCTAGCACCACCGATAAGACCACCAATCACTTCTGCAGTACTTAAATTTACAACCATCTTCATAGTAATCCCCCTAGCAGTACTCCATAAATCAACACTTCTTGCTGCTCCTAAGAGAATAAGAAAGGAGCATCCCTGGGGTTAATCGTTCATGAAACATTTCTTCGAACTGGGTGTACCGAACCGTTTCGCACTTTACAATATGAATATGGAAGCTATAAAGAAGATCCTGTCCCGCATAAAATTTCATTCTCTATTAACAGCTTTTAAATTATCGATAAACAAATTAAAAAGAAAATGGAGCGCCAGGACCTTCCTTAAGACCTCCATATTCACTGTAGTAAAGTATGAACCGATCCGGTACATCCAGTTCGAAGAAAAGTTTCATAAACGAGACGACTTTGACGCCACTTTTACATCACCTTAAATCAACTTCGGGATAGTTTTCCAATTCATGTCCTGATTGTCCCGGTGTTCTCCTCGCATCCAATTACGATACCAGACCATACTTGACGTGTAACTAATTTTGGGCGTAAGGTCGTGTCTCGATATTCAACAGCTTGTCGTTTCGAGTTTCCACCATTGAACCCGTCGAGTGCATCCGACTCGTGTCACCGATTACTGATATCCCAAGTTTCAAACAACTCGCTTTTGACTATTCCAGTTGCAGCGTCAGCTAGCCGAAAGGGGCGGCGGAGTTTGTCTGAGCGACCAAGAGTCCCTTGTGTCATTTCCACGGGGCAGCGTCAACGGGGTAGCGACTCCTGGTGCCGGGAGCAACAGCGGAGGTGGTGGAGGGAGCGGCGGGATGATTCCTCATCTCGGATCCCAACAAGGTCCAGGAAGCACCGAGCTGAGTGCAACCATCAACGTCGGCGGGAACCAGGTTTCGGGTCCGACCAGTGGCCAAGCTGGTGATCGTGGGAGCTGTAGTGCCGATAGTGGGGTCCGTGGATCCAGCGATCGCGAAAGTGGAGGCGCCACCAGCGTTGGTGGGAATCTCTCGGACTCCACGACGGATGGTAAGTTGGTGACTCATGTAGATGGTGGCCGATGTAGATCCAGGATCAAAGTCAACCTACACACATCCGTTCCGTATCGGTTCAATGTTCACGTCGTTCCAGCGGCTTTAGGCCATTGCTCATGCCTTATTGTTATGAGTGCTGTTAAGGTGATATGAATGTGTCATACATACATACCAAAAAGTCAAAATATTTATAAAACTTTTCTCCAAATTCATTTGATACTTCATCGCGAGATTATGGAGGCCCTAAGGAAGAACACGATGTTCGTGATATTTCATTTAAAAAAATGACTTTTTCTTATTTAGCCTAGACTAGAACGGAAATGATATTTTTTTTTTGTGAAAAATGAAATTTCACAAGCATTGCGTTCTTCTTTATGGCCTCCATTATCACGTGGTGAAATTTCAAATGATTTCATGTTCACTGAATCATATCTTAAAACCATGCACGGGCAGCAATGTTTCATAGCACAGCACAGACACTGAACTGATGAGTGTAAATCGACCGAGCTAACGTGTGAAAATTGGTACGGGTGTATGTAAATTGACCTCAAAATATTTGCTCCTGGGGCTCGGTTCTGTTCAGCATGAAATTGTCCAGCAGGACGTGATGCATCTCGCAGGGTCTATTTCTTCGGATCTGGACTCACTCTTTGGATCGCAGTAACGCATTCATAAAGAAGAGAATTGTTGAAAATTCTGATTCCCTGTAAAAGGTCGACGCGATGGACTTGTAATTTTTCAGACAAACTCGTCACGAAAGGCCATGACGAAAACTACTACTTTTAGGGTTTAGTGTATGAATAGATCTCTTCGCATGTTCGGCTGATGTCGCAACGTAAATTGTAGTTGAAGGCAACGTTCTTTTATAAGCAATCGTAACATCGCAGAAGGTTATCAGGGCTACTCAGGGTTGCTGGGGCAGATATCAGGATCCTAGCGCTGGTAACGCTTGTTTCAAACTCATCACAAAAGACTATGACAAAATCTGCTACGTTTAGGGTTTAGTGTATGAATACATCTCTTCACATGTTCGGCTGATGTCGCAACGTAAATTGTAGTCGAAGGCGACGTTCTTTTATAAGCAATCGTAACATCGCAGAAGGTTATCATGGCTACTCAGGGTTGCTGGGGCAGATATCGAGATCTTAGCGCTGGTAACGTTTGTTTCAAACTCATCACAAAAGACTATGACAAAATCTGCTACGTTTAGGGTTTAGTGTATGAATAGATCTCTTCGCATGTTCGGCTGATGTCGCAACGTAAATTGTAGTTGAAGGCAACGTTCTTTTATAAGCAATCGTAACATCGCAGAAGGTTATCAGGGCTACTCAGGGTTGCTGGGGCAGATATCAGGATCCTAGCGCTGGTAACGCTTGTTTCAAACTCATCACAAAAGACTATGACAAAATCTGCTACGTTTAGGGTTTAGTGTATGAATACATCTCTTCACATGTTCGGCTGATGTCGCAACGTAAATTGTAGTCGAAGGCGACGTTCTTTTATAAGCAATCGTAACATCGCAGAAGGTTATCATGGCTACTCAGGGTTGCTGGGGCAGATATCGAGATCTTAGCGCTGGTAACGTTTGTTTCAAACTCATCACAAAAGACTATGACAAAAGCTGCTACGTTTAGGGTTTAGTGTATGAATAGATCTCTTCGCATGTTCGGCTGATGTCGCAACGTAAATTGTAGTTGAAGGCAACGTTCTTTTATAAGCAATCGTAACATCGCAGAAGGTTATCAGGGCTACTCAGGGTTGCTGGGGCAAATATCAGGATCCTAGCACTGGTAACGCTTGTTTCAAACTCATCACAAAAGGCTATGACAAAAGCTGCTACGTTTAGGGTTTAGTGTATGAATAGATCTCTTCGTACGTTCGGCTGATGTCGCAAGATAAATTGTAGTCGAAGGCAACGTTCTTTTATAAGTAATCGTAACATCGCAGAAGGTTACCAGAGTTACTCAGGGTTTCTGGGGCAGATATCGGGATCCTAGCGCTGATAACGCTCTTTTCAGACTCATCACAAAGGCAATGAGGCAAACTGCTACGTTTAGGGTTTTATACATGAATGGATCTCTTCGCATATTCGGCTGATGTCGCAACGTAAATTGTAGTTGAAGGCAACGTTCTTTTATAAGCAATCGTAACATCGCAGAAGGTTATCAGGGCTACTCAATGTTGCCGAGGCAAATATCAGGATCCTAGCGCTTTCAGCCTTCGTTTCTTCCTGTCTAACTCTTTTCCTCGTTTCTCAGCGAAAGTGGCTCGTAACGTATCAAAGGATTCGTATAAATCCGCGGCATCAGTGGTTTTTTCTCTGGTGAAACGCTTTGTTGAATCACACTTGAGAGGAGCACCGCTGATCTGGATGCGTTCCGGATCAAGGACGGGATCCCAGGACTTCCGTCGTCGGGATTCCATTTTTCTGAGTTTCCGATCTTCGAGGGGTAATACCTCCTTCGTCTGGATGGGAAGTATCCGTGCCCGTAGGTAATCCCAAGGGATCTTCTACCAGGATCCTCGCCAACTCGGGGGATCACTTTCCAGGAAGAGGCTTAATCGCGAGTCTCAATTATCTCTTTTTACGGGAATCCTCGAGATCCCCGGGATTTCAAGGTCCGCGACGCCTCTGGACCTGGAAAAGGGCGACAGCGAGCATAAGCTTAACCCCCTTACAGGGTGCCACGAGATGAGGTGGGATTTGCCCCCTGTGTGGTTATTATGTTGCCCCGTACGCTTCATTTCCAAATCTCCCATGAATATGGAATTGTAGTCTCATAGACGAGAACGGTACTGGATCGATACCGCTGCGATAGTTCCTGATACCAACAATTTCGCTCATCAGCAGATGCTAGTTCTTCATAAATGTATGCAGATTACCCGAATTCCGTTCCTTCGTCTAAAAATGGGTAATCTCGCGTTTTCATGAACGATATCGTTTACCATGTCGACCCAGCTACTGAAGCTCATGGTATGAATTTAATTCATCACTAGACAATAATCCCTTAAAGGTTTGGGCAGTTTTGGTGTTTGGACGACAACATATAGTACAAAACAAAAGTTCACGCAGGCAAAACGAGTTCTTTTTCTTCATCTAATGATTCGTAATCTAGACACATAGGATCTCTGTCGATCAAGTTAATTTCAGGATCTAAGGACCTAGAATTGTATTTTTATGAAAGATAACATGTACCAGGTTATGTGTAACTGTTGTCAAAACTCGTTGTGTCGGTTGCATCAATCAACAGCAATTCCTTAAAGGTTTACGCAGATTACATGAGTTTCTTTGTCCAATAACTTGCACTCTAAGTGGATACGGACTCTGTGGTTAAAGTTAATTTCAGGATCAAAGGACCCAGATCCGTCCTCTCATGAACAACGACGTATAACAGTTTGATATCATTACCCAAGCTCATAGTATTAAATCCGCTCATCAGCTAACATCGATTGTTCAGAATTTGCAGATCACATAAATCCCATCCCCATTGTAAAGCGCTAAATCCCGGTAGATAGAGTTATCGGCAATTCCTAATTACGACTCAAACGAGATAAATAAAGTAGTTGAAAATATCAACCAGACCCAGTTTGGGCTGGTCTTCTTTGGTAGAACATAAAATGTAAGGTGCACCGGAGGCGCAACATAAAGAACACGAGCGATTACAAGCACTGAGTCCATGTGATTGTGATTTCTGACGTCCTAGAAAATTGGTTTCCAAATCTCCCAAGGATATAGAAATGTATTCTTATGAATGATAACGTATAGCGTGTTGATACCGTTACTAAAACTCACGGTATCAACAATGTCATCGTTCAATGGCAATTCTTCAAAGGTTTGAGCAGATTATACAAATTAGTTGATTTTGAAATCTCTCAAAAATATATAAATGTAATCTTATGAATGATAACGTATAGCCTGTTGACACCGTTACTAAAACTCACGATACCAACAATTTCATCAATCAACGGCAATTCTACAAAGATTTACGCAGATTACACAGATTTATTGTTTTTGAAATCTCCCAAGGATATAGAAATGTAATCTTATGAATGATAACGTATAGCCTGTTGATGCCGTTACTAAAACTCACGATACCAACAATTTCATCAATCACCGGCAATTCTTCAAAGGTTTACGCAGATTACACGAGTTTCATTCCCTCGTCCAGTAACTTGCGCTCTCGATGGTTACTGATTCTGTTGTTAATGTTAATTTCGGGACCAAAGGACCCAGATCTGTCCTCTCATGAACAATGACGTACAACGGTTTGGTATCATTACCCAAGCTCATAGTACCAATTTCGCCCATCGGCTAACGTCAGTTACTCAAAGGTTACGAGATAAATGAAACAGTATAAACTATCGGCCACCAGACCCAGTTTGGGCTGGTCCTCTTCGGTAGAACGTAAAATGTAAGGTGCACCGTGGGCGCAACATAAAGAACACGAGCGATTACAAGCACGGGGCCCACGTGGACAGCTTCAAGGACCTCGAAGAGGTCTCCCCCTGAAAATTCGCCCCACCCGACGAATCCTTGATAGACACGACGGACCTCGAATTGATGACACCGTGTATTTCGCGCAGGCACGCCTACTATTACGGTCGAGGGGAGCGGGCTCGACGTGGACAGCATCTCCGTGGTTTCCTCGGTTGCACCGCCCCACATGTACCAATGTAAGTGTCCACCACAATCATCATCCTCGCGAAGAAAACGGTCCAAGGGTGTACCCACAGACCCGGTCAAATTGGCCACCATCGAGTTACTCAAACGGCCCTTAAGACGCCGCGCTCGGTTAAACAATGGCGTTTTCTGGAACGGAAAATCGAAACAGGGGATCCTTCACCTGGATCCATGCATGAGCATGTACTTACGCCGGATCGCCATGTCGGGACTGTGTGTTCTTTATGTTGCATCGGTGGTTCCTCCGACCAGGAACGAGCAGCAACGATAGGTCCTCCGAGTCGAGCGCTGCGTTTCTGAACTTCCTGATGAACTGGGCCACCAGACTGACAATGAGTCAAATATTCAGACCTAGTTTAAACCTGTGTAACTTAATTGTTGAAGTAGGACCTTTTGGTCCTACTTCGCTCCTTATGCCCTACTTTCGATCTTGTACGTGCGTCCTACTTAATACAAATTAAATCCTACTTCAGACCTAAGAGGAGAAGAATGGAAACATTAGACATAGTTTAGTTACGTTTTTTATATTATTTAAAAACTCATTTGAAACCTATAATTGGAGATTCTAAATAAAGTCAACATTCATTCGAATTAATACCAGTAAATATGAAATAGTTGCAGATTATAAATGAAATTAAAATGTGCTGATAAAAATAACGCGCAGAAATGCTTTCTTCCAGTTCTTTTTTATTAAGGGACCTCCAGTGTATGTAGTTCATTGCCAGTATTCATATAAATACAAATTCACGCATCAAAGCCAAATTTTGGAAGACCAAGCAATATCCTTACGAGATCCTACTATAGGCTTAGTAACAAAATTAAAATATGTATCGCTTTTAAAGTACAAAATAGGACCCCAATTGTATAGAAGCTCTCTTTAAATTCTCATAAAACTCACTCAAGGCCTGCAATCAAATGTTCTCCCAATCAGTAGAATTAAAATGTTGACTGGAAAGGTTCCACGAATGATGTCCTGATGCATTTTACTTTTACTTTAGTGATCCCTGTGTTGATCGTAGTAGTGCTCAATATAAATACAAATTCATGCACAAAGCCAAATCTTAAAGCACCAAGCGATATCCTTACGAGATCCTACTATAGGCTTAATAACAAAATTAAAATATGTATCGTTTTTGAAGTACAAAATAGGACCCCAATTGTATAGAAGCTCTCTTTGGATTCTCTTAAAACTCACTCAAGGCCTGCAATCAAAGGTTCTCCCAATCAGTAGGATTAAAATGTTGACTGCGAAGGTTCTACCAACGATGTCCTGGTGCATTTTACTTTTACCTTGGTGATCCTGATGTTGATTGTAGTAGTGCTCGATTCTAAGGCGTGCCCATTGTTCCCATGCTCGTTTCTGGTCATCGGGAAATTGGCGCCAGGTTTTTGGACCAAGCTTTGCCCTCTAAGAAGAGGAAACCTGCATTTTGGAGGGTCGTCCCTAAATCGTTGTGCCGAACATCTTTTCCAGCTGCCACCACGCCGAAGGACTGCAGCCCCACGTTGTCTCCTCTGAACGCGTTCTCCAGATCCATGGACAACTCCTCCTTGTCCAGATCGGTGGAACAATTGTCCAGTCCCCTGGAGAATGAACCAAGGCGCAACAAGCAACCTCCACCTGTAGTTGCACCTGCAGCTCACTCGAGATCTTCGGCTACTCGCGGCGGCACCTGGGGGTCCATCTCGAGGTATATTTTTTATATTTTTATTAACCAAGGTATACCTTATATCGTTAGACGAAACAATGCGTATCGAGGAATGTACGAGGTACATTTTTTATATTTTTATTAACCACTGTATACATTGTATCGTTGGACGAAACAATGCGTATCGAGGAATGTACGAGGTACATTTTTTATATTTTTATTAACCACTGTATACATTGTATCGTTGGACGAAACAATGCGTATCGAGAAATGTACGAGGTACATTTTTTATATTTTTATTAACCAATGTATACCTTATATTGTTGGACGAAACAATGCGTATCGAGAAATGTACGGAATGATATTCGGAACGATGCAGAACGGATCATGTTGCTGACTATTGTTCTTAACCATTGCACGATACGCACCCCAAGGAAACAAAAGGCAGAAAAATCTATATCGGTATTAACAACAATCATATAAAAATATTTTACCTTTACTTAAGCCGATGTGGCGTCAAGGAAGTCTCGTTTATGAAACTTATCTCCGAACTGGATGTACCGAATCGTTTTAAACCTTACAATGTGAATATAGAGGCTACAAGGAAGGTCCTGACGCGAATGAATTTTCAATTTTAAAGTAATTTGTTTATAGCTATTTTCAAAATTTTTTACAAAAAATGAAATTTCGTCAGTTCCAGGACTTACCTTAGGGTCTCCTATTTTGCCACGATTCATGTGGTGAAATTTGAAACAAATCGGTACGCCCAATTCGGAGAATACTTTCACATCCCTTTAAATAATATTTCAAATATGAAATAACTATTTTCATATGGGTCAACGAAATGATCTTACATAGTGTCTTATGCAATGTCATTATTGCCGATTATCTGAAGTTAGGAGCTATCTCAATGTTATCACAAACTTGATTCATGACAAATAATCGACCTCCGATTCTTGGTTACCAAATATGCAGAACTTTGATTTCGAGATACTGCAGTTCTTTTGCCGACTAGTGGATATTCAAGATGCCCTGTTCCAAAATATGTGAACGGTAGTATATGTATATATGTACTCACACATATAAATATATGAATATATGGCAGAAAAGCTTCCGGTCGCTCGATCGATCCTCTACGTGTCCCAAAGGGAAGGCATTCGGGCGAAAGCTTCGTCTCTTTCTCGCTAAAACCGATTCGCGTTCGCGAATGATGGATGCATGGCGCGAGTTTTTCACGGATCGTCGATCTCGAAATATATATATTATTGCGTGGATATCGAGAACGATGGATGAAAGATGTTCAGGACCACCGCCGATGGCAACTCGCTCCTTCTCTGGTTGATTCCTTGCGCTGATCGCACCGACACTTTTTCCTACAAATTCTGGGTTCGTCTTCGTGGAACATTTTTACCGTAAAGTCGAATCCTGACAAGGGCTTGGTGGCCGAAGTGAAAACAATCCTTCTTCCAGAAGCACTGAAACTGATTTTTCATCCTCCCTCCGTCGAAAGTTTGACTTTCAATGCCTGTCGAGCGTAGCAAAAGTTGCCTATTACGTGCTGCCACACTTTGCCTCCTGAGGGAGGAAAGTACTTACTTTCTGCCCGCTTAAGGTGAAGTGAAACACGTTGAAGAACTTGATCAACGTCAATAAAGAAGATTTTTCTAAATGCCTACGTTGCCGACGTTCGTTGTTATATTGACAGCTGGGTCGAATAATTTTGGATATTGTACCAAATAGCATACTCTACCTGTCGTTTTCGTACAATAAATATCAAGAAATCGAAGTAAAACTACAGAAATCCAGAATTATATTGGATATTGTACCAAATGGCATACTACACCTGTCGTTTTCGTACAATAAATATCAAGAAATCGAAGTAAAACTCCAGAAATCCTCTGGATTCGTGCTTTCTGAGGCTCTAATTGACTGCAGAGGGACCCCCTGCGCCATCTGTGATTTACAGGTCAATTAAATTTTCACTCCGAGACCTCATATTCCCATCGTTTTGGCATAGAAGCGCATACAACACTTTTTTTGCCTTTATCCCGTTCAAATGCGAGTTTATCGATTACCAGAGTGTTCTAAATTGTCGTAAAATTGTCCTGACCCATTTGTTTCACATATCAGTCTTCAATAATTGTGTATCGATCGAAATATAAGAGCTCGACGCCATTTTAGTTCCGGTCTGGGCTAAGGTAAACGAATTTTTCCAAAAATCCAAATTTTGAATGTGTCAGAACAATTCTTAGATGATCAGGAGTGATGTGTCAAAGTTTCGGACAGTTTGGTCTAATACCCTTAAAAAGAAGTGTTGTATTTGAATGAACTGATTTGAAGGGGGTTTCACTTCACCTTAAATTCCACACAATTTGCAAATATTTTTACTATCCAGCTGCAACGGTAACGTGAAATGTGGGAGTTTGCATGTTTGACGGGAAACAGGAGTAACTTTTCCGGGGGTTTCAGAGTGTTCGCGAGATCGCGACATCGAAAAGGCGTGATCAGCTCCGGAAGTGGCGGAAACGAAGGGCAGGATGGGTTCGACCCGTACAGGTCCTGGTCTCCACTTACCGAGGAAGGGTATGCAGAGAAACTGCGACTGCTCAGAGAAGCAGCATCAGTTCCCATGGAGAGATGGAGAGCCCCGACGGTCCTGGCCTGGTTGGAGGTGGCCCTAGGAATGCCGCAATATGGACCACGGTGTGCGGAAAATGTCAAGTCCGGAAAGGTGAGAAGTCCCAATTAGCATATAAAGTGCGCAAAATGTCAAGATAAAGAAATATAAAGTTCGTCAAGCTGCCAATTCGTCGACGCTACATTTTAGTGTTACACGTAACCTCGTGATTTTTCCTTCACGCTACCGGCGGAAAATGAAAGCTCAGTTTTTCCAACTTCTGGCGCCAACACCGCAAAAGCGACACACTGTTAACACATTTGCGACCGCTGACGTGAATTCACGTTTTTTCGAGTTCTATTCCTGGTTGCCGCTGACGTGAATTCACGTCATTTTAAATTCTATACCTGATTGCCGCTGACGTTAATCACGGCCATAACGATACACGATACAAGTTTGCGGCAACGAAGTTTCAGAATTTCATTATTTTCACCGGTACTCGGTATTTGAAACGGAAAAAATTTGCGGGTCGCGAATGTGTTAAAAAGGAAAATACTGAAATTTTATAACATTTTTCTCGGAAGTTTTTATTCAGACATGATATACTAATTTTATATCATACATAAGTTTCCTCATTATTCTGCACAATTTCACAAACTTCTAATATGATGTTACATGACGGCAAATTTATTTTGACGTTTATTATAAATTTATCATAATTTACTTTTGAGACATGAAATTTAGAATTTTACCGGAACCTTATGTACCAAAAGTGTATGAATTTCATGAATATCTTTAACAGGGCTGTGTGTTGAGATGTGACGAATGTTGGGGAAAATCCGTATTCATTACTTAGTTGAAATGATGGTTCCACTCGATAACGCTTTTTTATTTTAATGCTCCCTTTCTTCTTTTTTCAATCCCGAAAAATTATACAACGCTACCCTTTTCCTTTTCCTCTCTTCAAATTTTTTTTACAACTAATTGTTTCACGTTTATGATTTTGTTTTCGGAACATGTCGCGTTATTTTGGAGCAAGAGCAAAAGCGATGCTACGAGTGAGATATTTAATTGCTGGTTCAGGTAGGTTTGACGCACAAATTTCAAGCTGTATCATATTTTACGACTGTAAACTAATTTCAGCGTCTTTCTGCGACCATTCGAACCCTTTAAAATTAAAATTAAGCGATTACTAGCGGCGTATGAAAAGGTACCTTTAAGGTGGGGACGCCAGCTTCGCAAATTTTTAATAATGGAGCGTCGACAGCCCATACAAGTTAATTATTACTAAAAAATTAATATTTTTTAAACGCTCAGGAGGGGCAATAAACTTGAGTACGAGCACTCAAGTTTATCAGCGTTTGACCATTTGAGACCAGAAAGTTAGCAAATCCAAGGGTTTCTTTGGTAATGAATTAAACCATGAGCGCAAAGCAACATCGCTCGATTAGATGTCTTAAATAAATTGCTACGACCGCAGTAAAGCGATAAAGAAACGCGAAGGAAAGTCGTTTCGGCATTGGGGCTGAAATCCTGAGAATTTGAGATATCTAATCGTCGAGTGCACGAGGTTGAATCTAATGTGCCATGATGTATGTACGCAACACTTCCATATGTTCGATTCCTGATCCAGGTCCTGCTGGAGCTGAGCGACAGCGAGCTGGAGGCGGGTCTAGGAGTGACGCATCCTCTTCACAGGAAGAAATTGAAGTTGGCCATCGAGGAGCACAGACACCCGAGCTTGGTTAGATATCCGTGCATCTCCCAGCTGGGACACACTTGGGTCAGCTCGGAGTGGCTCCCAGATCTAGGACTGGCTCAATACTCCGAAAGCTTCGCCACCAATATGGTGGACGCGCGGATGCTAGACCACCTCAACAAGAAGGAGCTCGAGAAACTGCTGGGTGTCACCAGGAAGTTCCATCAGGCTAGCATCGTCCACGGCATACACCTGTTGCGGATGCTCAATTACGATCGCCAGGTGAGATAGCCTCGAGCCTAGAAGGGATCCTTAAATCCCCCGGAAATGGTGCTCCTCCACCCTCTGGTGGACGCAGCAGATGGACGGCTCCCTGACATCGGATCTTCCTATCGTCGTAAAAATGGATTATTTACAGCGCGTCCGTTGGTTCATTAAACTTGGTCCAACCGACCTTAATAAGGTCTTGAATGTGCTTAAAGATATTCTATAACAAGAGTAATTATAGTATAAGTACTCTATAACGGCTCCCTGTCATCTTGATCGAGCCAAACTTCTGTAACAAGAGTAAAACTTTTCTTTGTCATTTATTAATCCTTTGGCAAACCTTAAAACTTCCAAAACCCCTAGTAGCAGAAAATATTTGTCCTATATTTTCTATATATTTAACGAATATCGTACATTTTGTAAATATTTACCAGACATTTGAAATATTTGAAAAACGTTTACTTTAGAATATTATCCCTATAATATTTATATAATATTAGCTCCATGTGCTTTCATAATATTTTTCTACCAGATATACGAAACATTTCGTTTCATTTTAATTCAAGTATTTTTTAAATATTATCCGCCGAAAACATTATAAACGCTTTAAAAATATTTATAATAAAAATCACACGTTTTGCTTCCATAATGAAATAGCGGAACGACAATATTAGAAAAATTTCTCGTGTTTTTTTATACCAAATGAAGTGTCCGATAATAGTGGTGAAGTAAAAAATGTATTTTTATTATGTTAATAAGTTAAAAAATATAATTTCTCTATATGTTTATAAGTTATTGAAACTATATATATCATTGAAATTTTCAACAAATATTTCAGATGTCTTAGAATGAAATCTACAAGAAATCTTAAAAAATCTGTCGCTTGAGATATTTTACAAAGATTACAAAGAAAGATTTAGAAATTATTCTATGCTACTAGGGACGTGGATACTCAAGATTGCGAGGAATTGAAATCTAAATTTTGAATGTGTCAGGACAATTCTTAGATGATGACGAGTCACGTGTCAAAGTTGCGGACAGTTTGGTCCAGTACCCTTAAAAAAAGGTGTTGTATTCGAATCGGCTGATCGTGGCGACATGTGGGGAAACAAATGCCTGGAAAAATTTTCGCCGTGTTCGCCATCTCCGTTTCTGGGGTGAGGTCTGCCTTATCAAATGTCGAATAATTCTAATCTCTCCAATTCCAGGCCCTCGCCGTTAGGAGACATCAATGCGAGAAGGTCGACGCCGATCCTCTGGTCTGGACCAACCAGAGATTCATCAAGTGGGCACGCAACATCGACCTCACCGAATATGCGGAGAACCTGAAAGGTTGGAAATGTCGGACCATCGCGAAATTTCGCGATTCTGGGAACCTACCTTAACCACCTACCCCTTACTTTCAGACTCGGGAGTGCACGGTGCTCTCGTGGTCCTTGAACCCTCTTTTACGGGCGACACGATGGCCACGGCCCTCGGGATCCCCCCAGCCAAGCACATGATTCGACGACACTTGTCCGCGGAATTGGAAGCTCTGGTTACCCCAGCAAGGTACTCGGTCTACTGCCCTCCAGAGGCGACACTGGACAACGCTCACTAAACGCGGGAATTCCCGTCGATTTGCGATTCGCGATTCGTCACGAAATGGCAATTCGATGCCATTTGGGGTCCTTCGAGAGATACTCCGTCGAGGATGCGTTGCCGACGAAGTAGGGCTCTCCCTACTGATCGCGATGGGTGCGCTTTTCTGATCGCGATGGGTGCGCTTCTCTGGACAGAGGTTTCATGGGACAAGAGAGCACATCGCCAGACTTTCGCGGACGTCTTTCGGGAATTACCGGAAGGAGATTCCTCGGGCACGGCTATGGAAACGTGAAATTTAGCCTTTAACCCTTTCGCTGTCTGATTCCGAGGTCCCCACGAGGGACTATTCACCCGGAAATCAGGGAAAACGATTCCCTTCTTTGAGAACCGATTGTCTTTCATTGCAAATGATCAGACAGCAATGAGACTCGGTAACAAGAGACGTTCGACCTTAAAATTCAGGGAATTTCTCGGTGATTTCTAACGATTTCCAGTGACTTATGCTTGCAATTTCCGGCATTAAAATCCATTGTTTCCGAGAGTGAATAAGCTCTCGGGTCCACGTATTAATCTTGGATCTTGATACTTCTAGAGCACCGGCCATTTGTTTTCGGCCACTTGGTGAAATTTCTAGATTTTGTAGAGAACAAAGTGGTGGCGGAAATTATTGTTGCACCAATCTCCGAGGCTTACTAAACTAGTATATTAGCTAATTAAAAAGTTACCGAGTTAATGTACCGAGAAATAAATTAAAAACAGTAAAATATGTTATCGCTATCTTAAACGGTCAAGAGGCACTGTCCCAAAATAAGTGAACAGAACGTCTAACGAGGAAGGTACCTGAGGTGTCCCCCTCCGATTTTGTTCATTTTTAAATATGTTATAGAGGACTAAAATCGAAAGGACACGTGTTTTTTTTTATCGGCGGATAAACCCTTTTAGGGGGTGAAACCAGGCTTCAAAGTTGGCCGTGCAAGGGGGTGAGTTGACTGTTTCATATAGAAGCATTCGACCGATTTTCATGAAACCTCCGTCAAAATGTAGGGAATGAAGAATTATGAAAGATGCATTTGGAATTTTTCGAAAAAATTCAATTTTAAGGGGTGAGCCACCCCTTTGAATACTTCTTTTACCCCTTACGCGAGCAGTAATTGCTCTATCCAAATGAAACTTGGTTAATTTCTAGACCAGAACAATACAAAAAAAGTTTCATTTGGATAGAACAATTACTGCTCGCGTAAGGGGTAAAAGAAGTATTCAAAGGGGTGGCTCACCCCTTAAAAATGAATTTTTTCGAAAAATTCCAAATGCATCTTTCATAATTCTTCATTCCCTACATTTTGACGGTTGTTTTATGAAAATCGGTCGAGTGCTTCTATATGGAACAGCCAACTCACCCCCTTACTCGGCCAACCTTGAAGCCTGATTTCACCCCCTAAAAGTGTTTATCCGCCGATAAAAAGAAACACGGGTCCCTTAGATTTTCGTCCTCTATAATATATTTAAAAATGAACAAAATCGGAGAGGGACACCTCAGGTACCTTCGTTGTAAGATTAATATACAAGTCTCACATTTTTATCGCCTTATTAGAATCTTCTTAGTTACAAACTAATCAACTAAAAGGGAAATCCTTCTATTCCTTATACGTTTATTTTAACTTTTAAAACTGCTCATTAAATGAATCCTTAAATGGCCAGGACAGTGAAAGGGTTAAATAAACACTATGTCGAGGGAACGCAATTCGTAATAAATACGAGTGTCGCTTCCCAACAATTTTTTTCCATCACTTTCACGAGTTCCCTGAAGAACGATACTGAACTATTAAAAAAGATATTTCGCTTGACGATCTCAAGAGCCAGAATTATCGGATTAAGAAACGATTCGATGCTGCAATCCCTTTCGTTGACAACTAACGAGCAATTTTGCAACTTAACTCGGTACTTCTATGAGAAGGGGTGAATATTATTTAAACAATTGAAATATTCCTCAGCAATGAATGTTTCAAATCGATAAAATGAACCCGTGGGATTGTAATACGAAATATTTCTTCGTCTAAACCTTCCTTCTCAACCTGCTCTCGTCGAAAGTTGCGTTCCTTCTGCATCCGAAAAATTCGAGCGAAAAATCAACCTATTGTTGATTTGCGTTGCTGGATTTTGTAAACTCGCAAATTACGAACTTTTTTGAGAAGATCTGAAATCCCGATGATCGATACGACCCGACGTCGACGTAACGTCATCGTAATTCGCGTCGTGAGCTTTTATATGGTCAATATCTTCGTAAATGATACTATAAGCGTAAGGATTTGTTAAAACACTCCACTTCGTGTATACGTGTGTTTGTACGTACTTAAAACTCGAAAATCAAAATCTCCTCCTAATTGCAGGGCGTTCGAAAAATCGCTCCCTAAAGTTCACTGCTTGCAACTTATTAATTACACAGAAAAGCGTCAAATTTGAATTACTGATGGATTAGCAATATTGTCAGGTGATGAGAAAAGAAATTATGCATTTACAAAGGACCCCAGTAGCACGGAATAATTTCTAAATATTTTTCTGTAATCTCTGTTAAATATCTCCGGCGACGGATTTATTTTAAGATATCTTGTAGATTTTATTTGAAGATAACTAAAATATTTCTTGAAAATCTCAATGACATATTTAGCTTTAATAATTTATAAACATATAATAAAAATACGTTTCTTAGTTTACGATTGTTATCGAACACTTCAATTGGTATAAAAAACACACGAGAAATTTTTGCAATATTTTCGTTCCGCTATCTCATTATGGGAGCAAAACGTGTGATTTTGGTTTTAAATATTTTTGAAAGCTTTATAATATATTCGGCAGATAATAATTAAAAAATACATATGTCAAAATGAAACGAAATGTTTCGTATATCTATAAGAGAAGTATTACGAAAACACGCGGAGCTAATATTATACAAATATTATAAAAATAATATTCTAAAGTAAATGTTTTGCAAATATTCCATGTCTGGTAAATATTTACAAAGTGTACAGTATTCCTTAAATATATAGAAAATATATAAGATAAATTTTTTGTGCTACTAGGGGAGATCCGTAAATAAAAATTCAGTTTTCTGTAATCAATGAAAATTATCCGTCTGTGAAGTTAAGTGACTGACATTTGGAATATAGTGACCAAGTAAAACTATTTGATATTTACGCTAATAATGCTTTGTTACGGAAAATTAACATTTCTGAATGCTTCAAGAATATTTCATGGATATTATAAAAATCATTGTACTTGAAAAATAAAAAGTTTGAAAGGAACAGATCTAAAGCCCGGAAGAAACATTAGTTTTTCTTAACCCGAAAATAATGGCGGAGCTAGAAGAATGTAAATAAATTAAATCTGACGCTTTACTGTGCGAAATATAAATAGTTATAAGCTTTGAAGATTAAGGAGCAACTCTTGGGACGTCCTGAATATCGCGCGTGATTAGATCCCTCATTAACCGGATTTTAATGCGGGAAAAGTATCGTGCAATTACGGAAGCTAACTAATAAGTGTTTCTCCATTACGTTAGGCTAAATATTCGCTGTAAAGTAATATCGACAATATCGATGGTACGAATTTTACCCCGAGGAGCCATTCCTGCGCGAAACGTCGAATGTACTAAACAAATGCGTGCGTCAATCTTATCGTAATCATTATCGACAAAATTCCCCTTCACTGGGAATTTCGTCCTGTAAATAATCGCAAACAATTACCGAAACATTGATTTAATGTTGGGTCATGTAACGATTCGACATCCCTGCGTAAATTTAAGAGAGCTTTGAAAATGACTTTTTATTTCCGGATTTACGAATGTCTTAATTTCTCGCCATTTTTTGAAATTAGTGCCAAGACTAAACCGAAACATTTACATCGAGAGGTTAACATCCAAATATCTGTTAAATGAAGAGATCTATCATTTGATAACAACTTTCGAATTTATAGTAACTGAAAGGTACGCGAAGTGACTGATAACATCATTCCCTTCTACAGAAGCAGTAAAAGGGGACGATTGTTCGAATTTTCTCATGCAATAAATGCTTCTTCTCTGACAGTTTATTATTCCGACTTCGAAAAAGGATGAAAAATTAAAATATTACAAAATGAACGGAACAAAAAGTCATACTCACTGCTCTCTTTGCCATTCGGGCTGAGAAACTGCAATCTTAGTGCACCCATATACGGTAATACGCGATGATACAAATCGTTGGGGTAAAAAGGGATATTCCCAAAAAAAAAGGATAAAAGAAGTATCTAAATTATGAAGTAGTATAAGGAGACATAATGCCAATGGTCGGTTCCACAAAAAATGACTCCAAAATCGGATCCCAGGATCTCAGAGTTTTGCTGATCTAACGATGCGAGCGCTACTTGCGGAAAATAAGGGAACTCCGATCCTACGTAACCAAAACATTTTCTATCGATATAAATTGCCTAAAAAGCTTTTAATCTTGCAATTAAGGTACGCAAAGCGAAACGATAATCCGCGCATGATATACAGATGTTTTTAACGCCTTAAAGTCTAAGAAACCCGCTATCAGATGATAACTTTTTAATTGCAAAATTTCATCGAGGAGGCGCTCTCGACACTTGATCGGAAAAAATCTGAAGATCTTGGACCCCTAAAGTGGGGACGATTTCTATACACGGCATTGTGTCTCCTTATACTACTTCGTGATTTAAACCCTGAAGATGTCGCGCCCACGACTCAGAAAAGGAGACATTCGCGATAGGCGCAACGCTCAGGGGTGGCAACTATTCGAAAGTTCATTTTTGTGCGATTTTCGCGGGACTGCGGTTCCTCGGGGACGATTTCCAGGTGGTCGATGAACCGTCCAAGAGTTTCGACCAGTGGGAATCGTTCCATTATCCGACAATCGTGGCCGAACAGACAGAAGTGACCACCGATGACGAATTGCTGAGACGATCAGCCGATGAACAGCTGATCAGCTGGTGACGCGACTGCTCGGCCACGGTCGTCGGCTTATCATTAATATATACCCATAATCATACACATGCTATACCTAATATACTAGGAATACACACACGTAGAAACGATACAATACAATCAACATAATGTACATATACAAACATTTAAAACCGCTGAAAGTGTCGACGACGAGGAACCTTCCGTTCGACCTCGCCAGCGATTGGCTGGCCTCGTCGTCCTTCTCGGTCGGTAAAAACCAGATTCGCGTCATTATAGAGAGGGAGAGAGAGCGACGGAATGACCCGTCACGATCGTGGACCTCTCGGTGCAAAAATTTCTCTCCTGGCTGAGCCGTAGCCCACAGCTGCTGCCTGCACTGCACTGCGCTATGTACAGCACACGTTATTATTCTTAGTGACAGTGGTGTCATTCTTGGTCAGACTGTGCTACGAGCGCGTTTCGGAACGACAGTCTGCTCCCATTCCCAAAAATTGATCTTTCGTCTTGATCGACCTCAGATTTCGGTCAACGAACGGTCCCCTGAACGCGTTCGTCTCCCTTCATCGGCCTGACATCGAGTCCTATCATTCGGAAGCTCGGCTGATACTTCCCCGAAATTTTCCTGTAAAATTGCTCACGTTAGAATCTGAATTGAAGTCGGAAAGTATTTTGACTTAAATTAGACGACATGCCCCAAATTTGTTGAGCAAGGTTTGGATGCAACCCTCGGCAGAAGCAGCGTCCCAGAAAGTCGGGATCTGACCGCGAATCGCACCACCCTGCATATGATTCTTTTCCTCTTCTCTTGATTTGCAAGACTTTGATATTTACACATTTGACTGTTCGATGTTACTTCCATGACTCGTTTTAACGCGGCTCTGATGCATCCGGGGAGTTGGGTTTGATGTCAATGCTCATCTTCTGGACGCATCGGAGTCTGTCGAGACGTTCTTTTATCGATGGAGCACAAAATGCTTGTGTATGTATATTTATGTTGTAACTAGATATTCATTATGATAAATGATTATCCGAACCAGGCACCTGCAGCGAGCCAGAATTATATCGCGTTTAAAACGACTTTTGACTTAACAATTGGGTCCTACAGCGAAATTAAACCCGAGTGGTGAAGGCCAGACATCGTCTTGAATGGGCACTACAGATAAGAAAGATTTTCAACTAGTTTTCCAATTTATCTTTATAAATAGCGTCCATCTCGTCAAGAAAACACGGAACGAGTAAATATCTCACAGCAATTTAGTATACTTTTACAATAACTATTCTAACACTTCTAGAGTCCATATTTGTGTATTCAAAAGAACGACTATCGCTGATTCTGTCGATCAGAAACCTATTCATCCCTCTTAACAATCAGTTCCCTTGTGTCACATTCAAATTAAAGTATAAATATAACAATTATAAACCTAGAAAGTAGATTTAAAGTACATATACAATACTTACAAATGCAGGAACTACCCTTGTATTCTCTCAATACGTTCCAGATTAACTGGACTCTAAATCCAGCCTTCTCCGGACGAAACGAGGCACTAATTCCACATTCCACTTCTCAAAACTCCAATAACATCGAAAAATCTATAATTTGTTCACACCCAAAGTCCACTTTTACCACACAAAAGCATCACCTCCACTTGGAGGTTCGCGTCGTTGCCTCAAACTTAGCAACAACGACACAACGTCTCAAACGATGCCAAGCCATTTACCCCAAAAGCTTGACCAATTACCCCGTAATTAGAAATTAATTGCAAAGTTCAGACATTCTTCAAGTAGTTCCACACAACTTGAGGAAGGTTCGAAGCCCTGTTCGCGGTAGGACCCAACATTAATCGCGATTTAACCAGAATGATCACATCCCGTTGGATCGCTGCAGTCCGCCGTCGACGCGTGTGTGTGTTGCGATGTTCCACCGAGGTATACGTATGTGGGGCCGTACGCAAAGCGTGCATGAGCGTGTGTATGCGTGTGCGTAGAAGTCAGCTGGAGGTGGTGCCCAGGAACGGCGCAGGAGGTCGACCCATCAGCAGCGTGAGCGCCGGAGGAAGTCTCGGTCGTGGGAGCCGGGCCCTGCACCTCCAGCATCACCAGAGCTCGCTCTCGGCCCTCCACATGGCCGCCAATCACGGCACCACGGTCGACCGTCGCCGGTCCAGTCTCAGGGTAAAGTATCAACCTTACGGATAGACATCGCCTTTTGCACGTGGAGCCTCTTACGCCGGTCTCACGCGATCCACCAGCGGTATTCCTCGCCGAAGGAACCGAGTCTCCTGTTGATCACGACCCTAGCTTGGCACCGCTTGAGGTGATGTAAAACCCTTCCAGAAATTTAATCGACGGTGGTGAAAAGGGAATTCTGTCTACGTTACCGGGGTTCGTATTTGTTGAATTCAGCCGGGTGCACAGTTAAACAGGAATAGGAGACAAGGCGAGGCAGAACGAATGCCTCGTACTTAGGTGTGTACCCGATAACGAACAAAATCGTTCAAGGCAATGAATTGACGAATGGTATCAAACAATCTCGGATGGTGTGTCAAACGATCATCTGAGGCAGTTTGTCGCATTTCAATTGTTTGGTCACACTCGTATGTGTGTCTTGCCTCGTACGCGTTCGTGCTTAGATGTGCACCTGGCTTTACAATGAGTGTCATACAGCATGGCATACTCCATATGTCGTTTCCGTACAATGATTATAAAGAAATCGAAGTAAAGCTCTATAAATCCCTAGAATTCATGATTTTTGATAGTCTGACTGCAGAATGCCACCCCGCGGCATCTGTGGCATTCTATCCCAACTAACTTTTCGAGACCTCGTGTTACCACAGAAATTCATTCGTTTGCCTTTATCGCGTTCTAATGTGGGTTTTTCGATTACTAGAGGGTTGTAAATTGATCTGCTACCTTTCTGATACTTTCGTCTCTCACCTCCTAGCGTTCAAGAATTGTATATTGATATAAATATGAGAGCACGATATTATTTAGGTTCTGGTATAGGCTGAGTAAAAGAATTTCTTTTCTCAAAATCCAAACTTTCAAAGTGTCAGAATATTCTTTAGATGCTCACGAGTTGTGGGCTAAAATGTCAGCCAATTCGGTGGAATACGCTGTAATGAAATATCTTATTCGGACCGAATGGTTTGAGGGTTTCACATCACCATAATCTGGGGTGAATGTCATTTGAGAAGTATCTCCCGTTGCGTTCAATTTTCTTCAAGAACCTGAGGAAATTGAACGTACATGAAGGCAGCGCAATTGGAGATGTTGATGGATGAAATGTTTAAATTTCATTCAGCTTTGGATGATGGGCTAGATGAAGCTAGACTGCCAATCTCGCTTCGATGGCAACAGGAGACTTGAGTCCTGATCATTCCTGGTCACTCTTTCCCCGATACTCTCAAATTTATTTATTTTTTCATTCAAGGGATGAATTATGAGTTATTCATACATTTTCATCGTACTATCAATATTACCGTGGGTACCAACAATCGATTGTTTGGACTACGTGACCAATAGTACATGCGATTTCTTAAAACGGGACATTTGCTTGATACTCATATGATGTTGAAGTGGTATATTAACCATCAATCAACAGTTGCACTTTGCGGATGGTTAATCTTAACACTAGATAAATTACGATTCGTAAAAATTACAAACGAAACAATTGAATCATGATGTTACCCGCAGGTAGGTTATGATCTTGGCTACCTCGCGTAATGGTGATATAATGATAATAAAATTATAGAATATTTAATCTAACGTCGTATTTCTCAAATTTGATTGACAAGTTCTTAACGTAATGCTTACGATTACTGTTACTAGGGGGATCGTTGGTTATCTAGGGTTAATATACCATTTTTTAACATCCAAAGTAAACCAAGCATAGAATAACGTCATGTTCTTTAGAATTTCAGTGCCTAATATTATAATTGGAAATCAAAATCTAATAGGCTACTAATTTAGATTCAACATAATCGTCTATTTTATGGCCTAATTTCCAGTGAAGAATATCGCTACAGGATGTGCCAGCTTGACTTTCTTAGGCTTTGACACTTCCATCCAACCATTTCACTCGAAACGAGGGGAATCACTTAAAAGCGATAGTCTTCATTGATCTGACTCTGAATCCTCGTTTCGCGTGTTCATGCTTCCTCGTATCGATGGGAATCAATACCCTAAAATGCCTAATTACATAAAAATCCCAAAGAACTATCTTCGCCAAGGCGTACCTAGAGAAAGTGTAAATACGACAATACTCGGCTTTTTGCGTGCAGAGAGGTTTCGTGTGGTCTTGAGGACCTTGAACACTTTGAAAGCTTTCGAAAGTCCCACAGCGAGCACTTTGGGGCTCGACTTTCAGACATGAAAGGGATAAGACGCAGACAAGGAATTCCCATCGCTACTCCTCACGTACCCAAAGTACTCACGCATATCCACTCGCACTTGGTCGTTGCGTTGTTCATTTTGATCGTCTCTCTCACTGGCATGGCTGCATGACATCGCTTTTACCAACCAGGCTCGCCATTATTCCCACGACATTCAGTCACCCCAGGACGAAAGCGACACCCTCTCCTCCATGAGTCGTGGCTCGAGTATCCTGCAACGATGAAGGTCCTTCGATCCGAGTTCCAACCTGGATGGAGATCGTGGAGGACCAAGGATAGTCGACCTGGGGGTCGCTTTCGTGTAACATCGTTACGGTCACAGCTCTCACCGTTTACCCCCGAGTCGTTGGTTACCACCTTACCATCTTACAATTAGTGTACATAGTCATAGATGTAGAAGTACGCCCTCTCGATTAGTGCAATTCAGGACGAGGCCCGAGATGTGGTGACTCGAGGACGAATCGATCCGCAGGCCTTTGTAAAATCTGGGCGACGTTCGAGTACGGTCCTGCCAAGACCACAAAGACTGATCGACGAGCCTCAAAGTGGCTACGCGTGTAACGACAAATCGTTGGAATAAATCCGTGCAAACTGGCCTGTACAGATTTAACGAACGCATGAACGCTAGGGAAGAACCCAATTTAGATACACAGACTACAAATCGCAACGATTCATCGTTACGTGTGTGGCTGTCATTCAGGTGGTTGCACACATAACAATAAATCCTGGTGATGATCCCGTGCAACCGATCTGTACAGATCTAACTAACGCATGGATGGCGTAGAAGAGCTGGATTTAACTGCACAGATTACAAACCGCTGCAATAACTCTGTAAACCAATCTTTACAGATTTACTTGGTCTTTGGGAATATTTTTTACTAACGAGTAGATCTTTCCGGTCAGTTTATCTAGACCAATTGCGTTTGCACAATTTTATCGAAACCTATGGACGGTGGTAATGCAAACTACTCGATTCAAGTTTGATGTTGGCCAGTGGTGACCGCTGTGGTTCGTGTGAACTCTGTCGTGAACCAGGTATCGAGTTCTTTTACCGCGTCCAAGCGTTATCTACGCGGTAAATCTGTACAGATCGGCTTGCACGAATTTATCGCGACGATTTACGGTTACGGGTGTAGCCACCTTAACTGCCCAGATTACAAATCGCTACGATTTATCGTTACGTGGGTAGCCACCTTAAGACGCCATCAGTGGTCATCAACGCTGATGGGCCCTGCGAGCTCCGCAGTTGCGGAATCCGCACCTACGTCTAGGGAACGTCTCTCTGTACATATACACTCGTACACACCCCTCTATGTATGTAACATACCTAGTGTTCGCGACGTTAAGGCCCGATTGTTCTCTAGCGAGTACGTTTATATTAGGACTACCCGAGCGCAATGCATTATCATTAATCATTCTCTACGGTGTGCGCGAAATCACACGTCACGAGGAACGGTAGAAAGAGACACCCGCCCTTCGTCGAAGGGAGGAACGAGACGCGGCGCAAAACGAATGTGTAAATATAAAGTGTGATTTCAACGTGGATGGAGTGTGGGTTCTTAACTGACACCTATCTCGCCCTTACTAGTTGTCGTGGAGGACCTCACAGGTATGGGACTATACGCTAAAGTACCGTTCAACATGGCTGTGAAACCTGTCTCTTTATCTCTCTTTACACCCGTCTAACCCTTTCTTACTTGTCCCTTTCGCGAGAGAATTAGAAAATTCTATACGTCACTTGTCCATTGACGTCCTAACCCACGTCCTACCTAGGACGAGTCTTTTAACCATTTACCATATCCAGAGAATCAAATGCGGCAGACAATCCTACTCTAGAGTAAACTTGAATAACACTTTGAAGACGACCTCCGGACGTACACAGATAAGAAGGAAACTTCATCGCTCCAGGAATAATGAATTTACGCGAAGGACGGTTACCTGTTCAATTGAATGTCAGCATGATATGTCTAGGGTAAATTCTGTTTCAAATGTCCAGTCTTGCTCGAACCAGATCTCCATGTTCAAAGAGAGGAATCTCAACTCCCGCCCCAGCGAATCATACTTTCGCATACTTTCCATCTCTCATTCCGTGCACGTAGTCGAGTGCCGAGGATCGTTAGATGCTTGCTCGCGATGTCTCCCCGGGATGAGGAGCCATCGATTTGTTCTCAGGTCCTAGAAACTGACAGCGAATTAATAGGATGTCCTCTCCGTTGCAGGGATCACTGAGCAGAGCTTTGGGGCTTCGTCCGAGAAGCGAGAAGGCGTCGCCGTCGTCTTCTTCGGACACCGGAAGCCTCGTGAGCCAGTGCCAGTACATGAGCAGCATCAGGAGCAACTCACCGCCGCCTCCGCAGCTTCCCCCGAGACCCTCGACTTCCGGCAAGAGACATCGACGTGTCAAGAGCATAGGCGACATAGAGTACATGAGCAGTGCAGCTGTGAGCACGCCTGTCTGACAAGAGGGAAGGGCCCAACATCCTGGGCCGTATCGCAGCTTGAGCGAGCGAGGCTACTCTTCGTCCTACTCCTCGCAGTATGGCTCCTATTCGGGCTACAGCAACGTCCTGGCGAACGATTATTATCAGTATCAGTCGCCTGTTGGGAATTACTATCAGCTGCAAGGTGGGTACTACTCACCTCAGAGCTCGGGGCCGCCGTTCCCGGGAGTCCAGAGGTACGGCAGTCTTGCCGAGGAAGCGTGGCCAGCCAGCACCAAGGAGGACGTTGGGACGCCGAAAGGAAGCGCCAGGACTTATCTGGCTTGAAGTTGGTGGGGTCACGTTGATCCAGAGGTATGGCAATCCAAATGAGTCGGCTTAATGAGTCCTCTAGAACAGAAGAGGACGTTGATATGCCGAAAGGAAGAGTTAGGACTTATCTGGCTTGAAGTTGGGGAGGTTACGTTGATCCAGATGTATGGCAATCCAAATGAGTCGGCTTAATGAGTCGGCTAGGACAGAAGAGGACGTTGGTATGCCGAAAGGAAGCGTTAGGACTTATCTGGCTTGAAGTTGTGGAGGTTACGTTAATCCAAAGGTATGGCACTTCAAATGAGAAAGCGTAGTCGGCCAGAACTGAAGAGGACGTTGATACGCCGAAAGGAAGCGCCAGGACTTACCTGGCTTGAAGTTGCGGAGGTTACGTTGGTCCAGAAGGATAGCAGTTTAAACGAGGAAGCATAGTCGGCCAGAACTGAAGAGGATGTTGGTACGTCGAAAGGAAGTGCTAGGACTTATCTGGATTTAAGTGACAAGGGTTACACCAATCCAGAGGAACGGCAGTGTAGCTAAAGAAACGTAGCCAGCCAACCCTGAGGAAAATGTTGATGCACCGAAAGGATGTATCAAGATATTTGGGTTAGAGTGGTGGAGGACAAATTGATGTTACTATTGTTGGACTAAGGGAAGATCGTTGATTGTTAAATGAAGAAGCGTAGACAGCCAGCATTCAGGAAGACATTGTTACGCCAAAGGGATGTATCGGGACTTACCTTGAAGTGGTGAAAGTTACATTGGTTCAGAGGTAGATACGACAGCGTAGTTGACGATGTGTTGCTTGCCATCGTTAAGGAACATATTGGCACGTTGAAAGAACGTACCAGAACTTATTTTGAAGGGGTGAAGGTTAAATTGGTCCAGAAATACGACAGTTTGGCCGAGGAAGTACAGACAGCGAACACTAAGCATGATATTGGTACGCTAAATGGAAGTGCCAAGACATATTTAGCTTGAAGTTGTGTAATTTACATTATTCCAGAGACATGGCAGAGTGGTTGAGAAAGCGTGGGCAACTAGTTTTAATGAGAATTTTGGTATTCCGAACGGATGTGCCAGAATTTGGTGGAGAATGGACTCTGCTACTGTTAGGCTGAGTGCAGATACGGAATGGATGGATGTTGGCATTTTTGTTCTTTCTGAGGGTGGGACCTGTGTAAGAATGACTGGAAAGTAACGAAAACATTTATTAATATCGACAGGAAGTGTTTAGTACATAAATTATTGTTTGAGATTGGGCGGCTATTGATGGCTACATTCATAGGCTAATGAGTGTGGTACCATACCGGACAATGGCTGATGAGCACTAAGAAGGTGTCGTAACAAGAAAAGGAAATACTGGAACTTATTTGATTCGAGTATTTAGCACATGAACTGTTGTTTGAGGTTTGCCGGCTATTGATAGCTACATTCATAGGCTAATGAGTGTGGTACCCTACCGGACAATGGCTGATGAGCACTAAGAAGGTGCCGTAACAAGAAAAGGAAATACTGGAACTTATTTGATTCGAGTATTGAGCACATGAACTGTTGTTTAAGGTTGGGCGGCTATTGATAGCTACATTTATGGGCTAATGAGTGTGGTACCCTACCGGATGAACACCAAAAAGGGCGTCGTTGTATGAAAAGTTGTATGAAGTACTGGGACATATTTGATTCGAGGTGGTGGAAGATGAATCGATTTGCTACAGATGTATTATGGGGCAATTATTGACAAATGCTGAATAGATATTAATCGTTATTTTCATTGGTCCAAGAATATGATCTCTCTGTTGAGAATAACCAGCGAAGCACAAAACCAGTACCGAGGAAAGAATTACTATGCTGCTAGAAGGTGCTAGGAGTTATTTGGTTTCCAGCTGGGAAGGGTGAACTAACATTCTCTACTTTGAGTGAGGATTACTGCCAGAAGTTGGACATTGTTTCCACCATCTCAATAGTGTGATACCTTATTTAAAAATGAGTAGCGAGCACCCCCTCAATAATTGGTAACATTTGTTTGGACGTATTCACCCAACTGGAGGGTAAGAAATTGAAATTGAAAACTGCTAAAAGTGAATGAAAATTTATCATTTATTTTTGAACAGATGATACTGGTTGCATATCAAACATAATATATAACACGGAAGCTCAAGAACTTATTCAACTCAAAGAATCAATCTTGGTATCAGTTATTTGATGATGTACCATCAGCTTTGTGAGGCCATTTGTGCCATTTCATGATATTGGGAGAAGACCAATGGCTAGGAATGAAGACCAACAACCGGCAGTAAGTTCTCTTGGCTCGACGTCGTGAATTTTGGTTCAGCAAATCTGACTACCGTTCGCCATTTCCTGATCTTCAGAGAAGAACAATGGTTGAGAAGATCAACCAAAAATTGACGAAAAGTTTCCAGGAAGTTCTGTTAGCACGACACCATGGTTCGTGAAATTGGATGGCCATTCCCAGTCTTCTAATTTGCAGAAAAAACCAATAGTTGAAGAAGAAGACCAATAATGGGCAGGAAGTTCCCATGAACTTCCGTTAATTTGGCACCTTGAATCTTGGTTTAGGTCCGTGGACCTGAAATACTATTCGCTACTATTTGATGCCTAGAGAAGACCAATAGTTGAGTAAGAAGATTCCCAAAGGGCGGGAAGTTTCCTCGACTCGGCGCCATACATCAAACTGGACTACCATTCGCAATTTCCTGATCTCCAGAGAAGACCAGAGATCGCGAAAGGAGACCAACATTCGTCAAGAAGTTCCCAAGAAGTTCTCTTAGCTCGACACCCTGAATCACGAAACCGGAAGTAATCGCTACCGGAGAACAGGACTCCATTCATCTCCAGCTTGGAGTTTCAGGTGTCAACTACTCTCTTCCCAGATTCTGATGTCCCAGATTCCGAAAATCCTCGACGGTGCAGCTTCTGCACGCTTCTCTCAGCTCCCATCACCGAATAAACGGATCTCTTTTTCACTGTCGCTTTTCTATTTACGTTTCTTCGCAGCATCGGAGAAGTTCCATCCGGAGATGCATGATCAGCGGTCGAGGATGAAGAAAGTGCTAAAAGGATCGACTTACCACGGAAAATGACTCATGTACAATTCGCGCTCGAGCTGTACAGGATGTATGCGAGGCGCGAGGGCGATGGTAAATTTTGTAGATAATTAAAACTCGATATTTATTCTCGAAAACCAAATCGTTGGTATTTATGTGCAACTACTCGGCCGTTCGGGGGGTCGGCCATCACGAATCGCCTTGGACTGCCGGTATAGTATTATCGCCGTTTTACCAAGTAAACGACGCATGAATACGCAAAGTACTGTATTTTCGTGTACCTAAGTAATTTATTTTATTAAATTAATTCCATGCTAACTTATTTATCGGCGTTACGGGCGGCGCTGGAGGGGCTGCTTATGGAAATCTTTAATAAACGCAGCGTCGGACAATTTGCGGTATGATATCACTTCCCGTGTCTACTTGTACGGCAGACACGGATCTCGGATGATGGAACCGTTGTAAATGTGCTCGATATAGAATGTACATATTCGTGTGAGCTGTATCTGATATTTGAGAAAGAAATAAACTCATTGCCTTCATTATGCGCTTCCTTATTATCGTTTTAAGTAAATATAGAAGAGTGTTGGAGTATCCTAATAAATGCACATGAGTGAAATACACTTTTTATACACGTAACAGTCGTGGAAATACAATGTAGGTGTAGGAAATAAACGTCTATTATGCACTTTTTTTTATTCTCCACGTTAATACAAGGAATTTACAAACATCTTACATGGTACATTATCATGGTCTTCAATACAATATACTATAAAATGCGAGAGGTCGCCGAATATACATAATATAAAATTAAACTTTATTAAGTACGAGTTAGATTACAAACATTCAGTTACAAAAATTTAATTCCACAATTTATTGTTTGATAATTTACATAAACCCTAGTAGCATAGAATAATTTCTAAATATTTGTTTGTAATGTTTGCTCGACAGATTTTTCAAGATTTCTTGTAGATTCCATTCGATGATATCTGAAATATTTGTTGAAAATCTCAATGACATATTTAGTTTCAATAATTTATAAACATATATAGAAATTATATTTTTTAATTTATGAACATGTAATAAAAAATACATTTTTTTACTTCAGGACTATTATCGGACACTTCATTTGGTATAAAAAAAAAATACCAGAAATTTTTCTAATATTTTCGTTCCGCTATTTCATTACGGGAGCTAAACGTGTGATTCTAATTTTAAGTATTTTTAAAACATTTATAATGTATTCAGCGGATAATATTTAAAAAATACTTGTATTAAAATGAAACGAAATGTTTTGTATATCTTGTAGAAAAATATTATGAAATCACGTGGAGCTAATATATAAATATTATAGAGATATTATTCTAAAGTAAACGTTTTGCAAATATTTCAAATGTCTGGTAAATATTTACAAAATGTACGATATTCGTTAAATATATAGAAAATATAGGACAAATATTTTGTGCTACTAGGGAAATGTCGGAAATATAGTACTTAAGGTTCCTTACTTCTTCGCTAAAAAAATGTTTTTAAAAAACAATGGAGGAGACAGATAAATTGACGAAGGAAATATTTTTTGTTAATAAAATTCGTTTTAACATTTGTCCGGCGCTTAAAGGAAAACTTCCATTAAATCTCTGACTGATACTAATGTCGC